GGAGCATCAGAGCTTGGGTTTCTCCCCCGTCTATGTGCCCAGCGTTTGCATGTGGTCAGTGGGAGTTGGACTTGGTTGGTTTCCCCTGAGGTCTGCTAACATTTTGGAGGCCAGACTGAATTGTTCTGTTAAACACGTAAAATACATGGGTGGAGGCCCCAGCGTGATGGTCAGACCAGAGGGGCTCTTACAGCTCATAACAAAGGGATTCCCTATTTATCAGCCCGGATTATTTTAGTCCTGGCTTCTCTACGTCTTGTCTTCTACTTCTGCTTCCCAAATGGGGGTGGTGCAATGGGGCCTCTGTGGGCCCACTCCTCTCTGGCCAAGGAGTGCCCAGAGCTGATGTGGACGGAAGTCGGGACCGAAGGCTGGGTAGCGGGAGGCTCCCCCACCAGGTCTGGGGCCCCGTCCTGGAGGTGGGCATTCCCAGAGCCCGGTCTAGATTCCATCTCCTGGACTGTCCTCTAGGACACTCTGTCTGTTCTTGTCCTTCATGGAAGTTTTTACAGTTTGTAAACACGTATATATTGGTTTGATCATTTGTTTCTTTCTAACTGTTTGACTAGCTGCTGCCCCATGAGGACAGGAACCGTACGTGTTCACTCACTGTCCCGTCCCAGCTCCCAGCACACAGACATCGACCCGGCCCAAAGAGGTGCCCAGTCACCCTGTGTCCCTTGACCAAATGCTCCCGAGATGTGGAAACCCAGACAAGGAATGACGGATGGAGGTCTCCCTCTATCAGGGCATGACCAGGACTGGAGGGTGCTCAGACTTCAGGAGGTGTGGAGGGCAGGGTGTGGTCGGACGTGACTGTGGGTGAGGGGTGTGTATAAGGGGCGAGCAGAGTGGGCCATGACTGTGGGTGAGGGGCGTACATAAGGGGCGAGCAGAGTGGGCCATGACTGTGGGTGAGGGGCGTACATAAGGAGCGAGCAGAGTGGGCCGTGTCCAGGAGCCTCCTGGGCCTACAGCTCCGTGTGTGTGCTCATCTCCATGTGCTGGACACAGCGTCATTCTGGGCTTGGACATGTCTTTGGTTTGGGGATAGTATACTTTTCCCTTCAAAAGGAGGCGTTAATGCCTGGTAGAAATTGAAGTTTAACATTGGGCTCTGTTCGTACCTGGTTCTAGAAAGCCTATTCTCATGACCCTCCTCTTCCTGGTAACTTGCCCCTGGCCTAGCCCAGCCAAGCCACCCTTTTCCTTTCTATGCAACGGAGAGCTGTTTGTGTGAGGCCAGAACATCCGAGGGTGCGTGGGAATCGGTTGCCCGGAAGACCGGTATTTGCCATGGAGCGTAAGGCTGGACTGGACGGGCGTGAGTGCGTGCCCACAGAGCAGACTACCTGATGTGGCAGCAGCGTCCAGTGTGCGGCTGGGCCAGGACCAGGTCCCTGGGCGCTGCTTCCCCTCCCAGGTCCCAGCTGGCCTCCTCCTGCCCCAGCGCACGCTCTGCCAGGGCATCAGGAGAGACCGGGTAGTGGTGAGGAGCCAGAGCGAGCGCCCAGCACCAGCTTCTCAGGCTGCAGGCTCCCTGCCCTGAGCTCCTTCCTGGGGCTGTGAGTGAGCAGCCTGCCCAAGGAGGGGACAGCCTGACCAAGGGTTCCAGTCCCACGGTGCCCCGGAAGAGGCCTCATCAGGGCCTGTGGGTGGGCACGTGGAGCGGAGAAACAGGCCTGCCAGGCCTCAGAGAGGAGCAAGCTGCAGGCTGGGCTCCACGAGGGCCAGAGAGGCTGCCAAGAGGGAGAGAGTTGAAATGACAAAGCTGGTGTGACTGGAGCTGTTTGCAGAGGCCCACGTGGAGGAATGTTTTAAGGTGCATTTGAAAGAAAGCAGGATGTTGAATATTTACAGTGCGTTACCGCAGGCACCAAAGTGAAAAATAAGGCTTTTCATAGGGGGAGGTGCAATTAGACAAAAAGGCTCACTTCAGAATTAAAGGGGAGAAAGGTTTTTTCTTAAATTGTAGTTTATCTTACTGGTGTTTACTAAGTCAGTTCTAAAAAACAGCTATTTGTTTTTTTGAATACAGAACATACGTACTTGGTACAAAGTGTCTTATGTAAACTAAGTCTCCCGTCTCTTGTCCCAGAGGCACCACCGGTTCTGGTTCTCATGTTCCCTCCAGAGACAGACTGCGGAGAGAGCGTGTGTGCGCGCACGCGACCGTGTGCACACACAGGCCTAAGTATTTCCTTTGCAGCCTGGATTTTAATAATGTCTTTTGAAATTGTGTAAAGCATCTTTAAAAAACACTTGTAAAAATGCAAAAGAAATGTATAATTTAAATACAATAAGGATTTATTTTTCAAAAACTCACTGCAGAATGTTTCCAGGAACTTTGGTGTTTTAGGGGCTGTTTCCATGGGCCCTTCCCCCAGCTGCTGGCTCTCCTGGTTCCCTGTGACCTTGGCAGGCCCTGCCTCCCGTATAAAAACGGTAGGTGAGGTCTCTAAGGAACAGGTCAAAATGGAGACTTTAAACTTGTTAGAAAGAACATGGTTGTGACGCAGACTTGTTCCCAAGCCGGTTGACACTCGCTCGCTTGTTCACTGAGCCTGGAAATCTCGTGACGTGTGGGGATGGAGAGTCAGTGGGAGGACAGTGGACGGCAGCTCAGGTGACGTGAACATCGGTAATGGAGACGTCCCGCTTGTTGTCTTGGTGGCTCCTCATGGCCTCTCGTCACCCCACCAAGAGGGCTTCTTTCTGAGGGGAAGCTGGGGACACAGTGAAGCCACTGGGTTTGGATGAATGACCGCTGTGGCTAGGGCTCCCACCTGCTTTCATTTCCTCCACATTAGAGCGAAGATCAGCCATGAGATAAGATTTGAAATTGGAGAGCATTTTCCCTGTAGAAATGGCCGGGCCAAGCGTGGGCCTCTGTTGTGGAGCTGGAGGCAGCAGGCTGCTGGGGCCTGACGCCGCTTGCCCTTCAGAACAGAGCCCCCTTCATGACCCCTTCCGTCCCTGTGGGAACGGCCTTCCTGTGCCCATGCCGTCAGGGAGAGGACACTCCATTCTGTTCTTGTGATGGCTGCTTTCTGGCCACTCCGGCATCCTCCCCCACACGTTTGTTGAGACCTCAGTGTTTGCAGAGCTCCTTTATTCCCTGTCACCTTGTGATTGGGGTTGGGAGGATGGGTGCAGGCCAGGGCTTGACAGAATGGTACTGAGGGCCGACGGCCTGGCCCTTCCACTCTGTACAAGCTTGAAGGTGCGAGGCCGGGGCTCTGGGAGAGATGGGGGCAGGAACCAGGTCAGGGGTCAACTAGGTTGGGTTTCTTAAAGATGAGACGAGTCTGTTGTTGGTAGTTGGACTTCACTCCAGTCTGTCCTGTTGTGCTCACTGTTTTTAATTGCAGGTGATTTTTATTCTTTTAAAAACTGTATTTTCTTATTAATCTGCAGTGGGGGGTATGTTACATCATTCAAAAAGTATTCTGAGGGGCCGACACCGTGGCCTAGTGGTTAAGTTCAGTGCGCTCTGTTTTGGTGGCCCGGGTTCGGTTCCCGGTCATGGACCTACACCATTTGTCAGTGGCCGTTCCATGGCAGCGACCCACATACAAAATAGAGGCAGATTGGCACAGGTGTTAGTTCAGGGTGCATCTTCCTCAACAAAAAAAAAAAAAAGAAAGTATTGCAAGAAAGAAAAGAAAAAGAATAAAGCCTCTTTGTAGCTCCTACAATGGTATAACTAGTTATTCTTAGACTCACAGATCCTGGGCTTTTCTGACAGCGTGTAGGGCCAGAAAGTGACCTCTGAGCCACCTGATTCACACCTCCCCTTCCAGAAGCTTCATGGAATGTTTTCCTGCTACACATTGATGCTCAGAGCTCAGAGAGGTTCAGTGGTTTCTTCAAGGTCAAACATCTGGTCAGAAGCAGAGCCAAGATTCAGACTCAGACGTGCCTGACTTGGAGATGGTGGCGTCTCCACCATAGTCCCCTCCTTTGTGAGGGCCTGAGCTGGAGATTCAGGGTCCCTGGTGGTGGAGAGAAGGAAGAGGTAGGGACACACTGACCAGGTGTTACCTGGTCTTTACAGGATCCTGTGACTAAAGGGCAGCACTGCAGGCGTGCGAACAGGCTGCTAGGGGACATTTCTGAATGACATTCCCCCGGGTGGTGCCCTCTGTCCTCAGACAAACAGCACAGACTTTCTGAGGGGCAGAGAGCTGTGCGGGGAGCTGGGCGCTCTGTGGTCTTCTCTCTCACCCTGCAAACCCCCTGTGAAGGTCGGCTCTCCCCACAGCCGGCACCTGTGGACACTGACTCCAGGAGTCGGAGGGGCTGCTGCGTCTCCCAGCCCCTCGGGGTTGGGCTGCGATGTGAACTTGGGGCTCTGCCTGCAGACTGTGCCCCCCCTCCCCGTGCGCCCCTCTGGGCAGGACCAGGTTGGGCCCCGGAGCACAAGCTGGGAAACCCTCTGACTTCCGGCCTCTTTATTCTTTGGCGCCTCAGTGGCCACAGCCTGGGCGGGTCCGACATCCCAGGAGAGGTGCCTGTGGAAGTCGAGCGCTCTGGGGCGTGGCCTCCCTGCAGGCTGAGCTCTGTCCCTTTGTCAACCTGGCCTCTTGGTGCCATGAAGGACGTTTCTGATGCAGCCAAGTGCAGGAGCAGTGAGTCTGGCCGGGGGTCCCAGCCCCGCTTCAGTGCTGGCTCTCAGCCTTCCTCTGTCTTTCCCCTGGTGGGGGTGTGCTTTAGACACTTGTCATGGAGAGAGAGGCTCGAAACTGATTCTGCTCCAGATTTTAGGACTCACTCAGGCTAAGTGTGCTCCTCGTTTTGGAACTATTTACCTTTGCAGTAATGTGAGTATAAATTGGTTTAGAATAGAAACTCCTTTGAACCTTGACAAGGACAGAAATAAAACATGGCTGAGAGCAGTCTTCTCTTGGGCTCAGTTCAGAGACTGTGAGGCAGTGAGGGACTGCTCCCCAGGGGAGCTGCCCGCTGTCCCCAGAGAGGGCTCTCAGAGGCCAGGCCCGCACTCCGGAGGCCAGCCTCAGCCGAGACCATTCTCCTGGCGAGGAAACCAAGGCCAAGTGGTTTACTCTGCTTTGGGCTCTAGTGGCCACTGGGGGAGCAAGACATTGGTGCTCAAGTCAGCAGCTTGGCTACAGAGGAGCGTGGAGAGGGGCCCTTTCCCTGGGAAGGTCAATACCATGTGCTCTGATGGCCTGGGGAGGTTGCTAAGAGCTCATTTGGGCCCCGTCACCACAGAGGCGACATGTTTCTTTGCTTCCATGGCCAGCCTGGAGCACTTTCTGCTCCTACATGCCTTTGCCTTGAACTTGAACTTGGGGCACTGCTGCTTGTTTGTTGAGTGATTGCTTTAATAGGTTTTGCTGAAGATGTTTGTTTAGGGATGGCGGGGCAGGTGGCACAGATTGGTCACTAACATCCATTTACCTTGTGACCAGGAGTCCTTAATGGACTCTTCTCCCAACCCCAAAGGCGCCAAGCTCCGGGGTCAGCGCCTGCTACGTCTGGGCTTTTAGGCCGGGTCTAAATCTGGATTAGGCCTTTTCCCCATTTAGCTCAGTCAACTCCACAGGCTATTACAGGTCCCCTTTCCAGCTGTCACACTGCCCGGCTGAGCGCTGCCGCCAGGAAGGGAGGCAGAATTCGGATGCAGCTTCAGCATCCAGGCAAGGGTCTGAGGAGTGAGTGGGGCAGGTGCACTGTCTTAAAAATTGCCACCTGAGGAAACACTCTATGGTCATTCACCACATGAGGACGTTTCAGTCGACGAGGGACCACACACAGGACGGTGGTCCCATGAGATTAGTGCCGCACAGCCCGGGTGTGTAGTGGGCCATACCATCTAGCTTTGTGTGAGGACGCTCTGCGATGTTCACAAGGCGAAATCACCTAACGACTCGTTTCTCTGAACGTGTCCTCATGGTGAAGCGACGCATGACTACTTGCATTTGCGTCTTTTTGCATCAAGAACCTCTGGAAGGACAACAGAAACCAGTTAAAGGTAGTTTCCAGTTCAGAGGGAAGGTGGGGAATGGGGCAGATGGTGACAGGGGTGATACTAAAGGTATTTAATACCTGTTTATTCTTCTTCACTGAATGTCATTTTATATTGTAGCCATGTGAATGTATTACCTATCCAGAATAACAGTAACAGCAATAATAAGAATAGTAGCACAACAAGAGAAGGAAAGTGCCCTTTCCTGGGGAGCTGGCGTGGCTGTGTGCACATGGAGACCCTCGAGTCGTGGACACACCCGGAGCTGGTTGGGGAGTCCGTTTCCAAGGCCAGGCTGTGCAACACTGCGAGTCATTTAAAGGCATACAGCCCGGAGCCTGCACATCTGCACGAGGGCTGTGTGCTCGTTACCTCGAGAGTTGGGCCTCCTGTGACAGAGTGTCGTCAGCGTAGGTGGGTGGTGCTGGCGAGACGGGCAGCAGGCATTGGCACCTTCTGAGACACAGTAAACACCCCTCCTCGAGGCTGCACGGGGCTCGGGGAACAGCCTGCCTGAGTCTGGAGCTGGAGCTGGTGGAAAGAGGGTGAGGCCAGGGTCCTCGTTCCCAGAGTGGACCCTGAAGGCAGGAGAAGGGGTTTCTGGAGCTGCTCCAGTGGACATGGTGGTGACCCCCGGAAGGTCACTGAACAGCTGGCTCGAGAGCAGGTGTTGACTCTGGCGGGGTCACGCACAGAGGGGAGTAGCCTCTGTGGGCTCTGCAGGTCCCGGGATGGTGCACTTGGGGTCTGTGCTCGAGCCTAGAGCAGCCCCTTAGAGGGGTGGGCGTGAACTGTCATGTCTGCCGGTGACGGGGTGGGGAGTTGGGATGGCCCTTTCCATGGTGATGGCATTGACTCCTCTCAGCAGACCTGCAAGGTAGGTATAAGCATGCCCATTCCCAGGGGAGGGACCCAAGTCAGAGAGGGTGAGTCATCTACCAACAGGCAGAGCCCGGATCAGGCCCAGCTGGGCCTCTGAGCCCATCTGCCTCCCAGCCAGCCATTTCCCCTCACGGTGTGCTGGGTCGTGTTTTTCAGGTGACGGTGCCAGGAGAGCCTGTGGATGTGGCGTGTGGTGTGGATCACGTGGTGACTCTGGCCAAGTCGTTCATCTGAATCTCCTACCTGACCCACTTGAGCCCGGCCCTGGCCTCAGAACCACTTGGACTGCTTAGCAGAGGCTGCCAGCCGGGGCTCTTGATGGGGGTCAGAGAGGATCAGGCCCTTCGTGAAGTGTGACGCAGTCTCCTAAAGCCCTCAGTAGGAACATACTAGAAGTCCCGGGACGTGGGCCCTTCTCCAGCTAAGGAGGAGACCTGCTGAATTCAGCACGGGACGGCTGCCTTTAATGGGCCAAGCTCCAGTGAGATGAGTCCCAGGGCTGTGTGGTCCTGGCAAGGCGAGGCTAACTCACACGTCTCGGCTCTTTCCACGGAACACATGCCAGCCTCTGGTGTCACGTCTGGCCTGAGAACTTGGTCTTAGGAAAGCTTAGCTCTCATAGCATGCCGTTTTGGTGGATCTTCAAAGGTGGCCTGACGGAATTTAGTGTCAGGGGAGCTTCTGTGGCCCCCTCTGACCACGGCAGAGCTCTCGGTTGGCGTCTGGGCAGGCTGTGTGTGGGCATCAGTGCAGGGCCTGGCCGAAATGAGGGAGGCGGGCTGGTTTCGGTCTGGGGTTTTCATTCAGATCCCCCTGCCCGCTCAGCCATTTCCTGTCAGCTGCCCACGGCCAGCTCGCTGCTGGGACACACACAGAAATCCCTGGACTGGGGTTCTCCCTGGGAATACCAGTGGGCGCCAGCCCAGTACCCCTGGGCCCATGGGTGTCACCAGCCTTGTAACCATTCTCACTGCCTGGCTTGGAAGAGTTGAGAAGCCCCCGCAGGAAGAAGATTGAGGCCAAATTCTTGTGGGCTGAGGGCTCAGAGCACATCCTGCAGAGGCTTGACTGGAGAGAAGAAAGATTTGGAATTTGTGAAAAACATTTGAGTTAGTAACGTAACTCATCTTTTTCTTTAAACACAATTTTAAAATTCTCTTTTGGAATAAAGTCTATTTTCTGCCTTTTTGAGAACTACAGAGGTCTTTTTATTTTACGTCATCATTCAGAGATTAGCTTTCAAAAACAATGCTTTTTGATAAAGAGGCGACTAGAAGCCAGTGAAAAATACTTGAGAAGACAGTCCTACTTGAAAACCCTTTTCTGAAAAGAGTCTATTCCCACAGTTCAATTGGGAGCAAATGAGGAAGTACAAACATCCCTGGGAATCATGCCACAAACTGGGGTCTCTGTCCCTGCCGGCCTGCACCCTCTTCCTTCTGTTCGTTCACTCATCAAATCCTTCCTGTGTGCCCTTCATGTGCCAGGTCCTGTTTATCACTGGGCCACATGGTGACAAAACCGCCTGTAAGCATGTGTCGTGGAGCTGACGTTCTAGGAGGAGATACAGACTCTAAACAAGCAAAGTGCCAAGGCCCCTGGATGGTCACGTGGGCTGTGGAGAAAAATAAAGCAGGCGAAGTGGACGGGCGAGGGCGGGCCAGATGCAGTGTAGAGTGGGATGGTCACTGGGCAGATGGCCTTGCTGGGACTGAGGATTGGGAACAGTCAGCTGGTATCTGGGGGAGCAGCCCCGGGACCCCTCATCTGGGCTCATGCTAGCTCCACTTCTCTGTGGGGACCAGTTCTTCTGTTTATTACAGCCAAGCTTTTCCCGAAGCTTGAGGTAGAAATTGAAAACAATTTGTCCCTTTCCTTCCTGAAACTCCTGGTTGGGTCAACGACCACGTCGCCACAGGGTGAAGAACAGTAATCCGTCCTCTGTGAAATACCACCTTAAAGCAGGTTCTGATTTATGGGGGTGGGGGGTGGCTCCCCATAGGACGGGCCTGGGCCCCCACAGTGGTGTCCAGGATGGTAGGTGACGGTGAGGGAGCAGCTCTGGTGAAGGTGGGAATGGTTTTTAAGCCTCCCAGCCCAGTGGCAGCCAAGATTCTGATCCAGAGAGTACTGCACCTCGGACACGGCCACCAGGGGTTAGTACAGGGCGTCCTTGGATTTGTCTTAAAACCGTGTCTTCCCGTCGGGCCCGGTCTGCCCAGCTGGGTGGCGGGGCTTTGCTCTGTGTGGGTGATGGGGTGCCCTGGTCAGAGCTCATCTGCCACACACCAGGCCCTTTCGACAGTTGTCCTCTGTGCTCGTGTCCCTTCTCAGCTTCTGTCCCTCGTTCCCAGCCCCTCCCAGCGTTTAACACCCACAGACACAGAAACTGTCTGCACCATTAGCTTCGTTCACCATTAGCTTCGTTGCTATAATTTATCCTTTTTTCCTGTGAAAAGTCAGGGTTTGCAGGCTCCGGGCTCCTGTCACTTCAGCAAGTGTGTGAGGACACCCTGAATGCAGTGACCACGGGCCACTCCGACGTGTCACCTGTCCGTCCTGTCTTCTTACACTCAGACTCTGTCCTTCCACCTATATTGGGGTCGGTAGCCGAGGCCAGTGCAGAGCCCGAGTGGCAGGCACAGCCTGAGAAGGTGGAGGGACTCTCCTCACACGGTGGCCACCACCGCTCCCTCTGTGGACAGTCGTTCCCTGGGCCTGGGTCTCTGTCTTCCGTCCCCTGAGCCCCCGCCGGACGTGCAGGCTACCACTCCATGATGATTTCTGGGGAAGGGGCACTTGCTGGCACGCAGACCCTGACATCAGTGAATAAAAGACACTTGGCCTGGGGGCCGGCCCGGTGGCACAAGCGGTTAAGTGCGCGCGCTCTGCTGCGGCGGCCCGGGGTTCGCTGGTTCGGATCCTGGGCGCGCACCGATGCACTGCTTGTTAAGCCATGTTGTGGCGGCGTCCCATATAAAGTGGAGGAAGATGGGCATGGATCTTAGCCCAGGGCCAGTCTTCCTCAGCAAAAAGAGGAGAATTGGCAGATGTTAGCTCAGGGCTGATCTTCCTCACAAAAAAAAGACACGTGGCCTGCCGTTCTCGTCAGGTCCGCCCCTGACTCACTCAGGAGAGTCCTGTCCTGACCACGCTTGTTTCTTGAATATGTGGTTGGCTCACATTTTCAGGAGGTCAGGAAACACCTACTGTGCACTCACTGTGTTCATGTGACAGTCAGACGCTGACAACCACGTGGCAGGAAGAGTGCTCTGACTTGGCACAGCAGGTGACAGTCTTGTTGAGCACCTGGCACAGGTTAGACACTCGGGCTGCGTTTCTGAAGATCCACACTGTTCTCTCGCACATTACGCTCAGGTCCCAGCACCTCCTGACCAGCAGCAGAGTTACTCACACCTTCTGAGGGCTGTTCTCCCCGCAAGGGCTGCAAGGGAGCTGTTCAGGTGCCTTAGCCTACCGTGCAGCCTGACGTTCCCACAGACCACTTCACATGGCCTTGGGGGTGGCCCCCAGCACTGGGGTCGCCCTGTCAGGCAGCCATGGTCCTGGGGCCTGCCTTGCCCCGTGATTGAGCCCCAGGAATGTATTGCCTCCCCCAAGGAGCCCACACTTGCCTTTCTCTCTCCCAGGGTGCATCACCCAGCTACCCTCAGACGCTCATGCTGTGGCGACCAAGAAACCCAGCCTTTCTTCCACACAAACCTTGATATTTCACACGGAGCAGCCCAGATTCAGCTTGAGCTGGAGACAGTGCTTGGAGTCCCTCTCGCTGTGCTTTTCTCAGGGGCCACACTGAGCGCATGCTGAGCGGTTAAGTATAAAAGGAAAAATCCAGAGAGTGTGCTCACCTCCTCAAACCAGGAGTCCACCGTCTTGCTAGGGAGGCAAACAGGTGGGATGTAGCTGGTGGGGGGCGCTGCCCTTCAGGAGCAGAGAAACTTGGTGTTGCTGTCGCTCTGGTAGCGTGGTGCCAGCTGAATTTCCAGGAGACCAGAGAAAACCACAGGAATCTGTGCCCATCAGAAAAATGACCCCTGTGAGTCCACCCTCAGAGACGGAAACTGAACAGGCTCAGGCTCATGACCGGAAGCTGTTCCACAGCTAAGTCATCCGCCCTCATTACAGCGAGAGAACACTGAAGATGAAGCAAAGGCCTGATTGGGTCCCTGTTCCTGACCGACGGTACGCCAGGAGCCGCCAGGTGCTGGGGATGCGGTGGTGAGAAGCATGCATTCGTTCCAGCTGGCACATCTGGGGGCTGGCTGCCTCTCATGAGTCTGGCCTCAAACTAGGAAATCAAGATGAGGCCGCCTGCCCCCAGAGCAGCCGAAGGAGGCCGTGTTCATGAGGGCATTCCTTTGGGCAGATTCAACCCCTCACCCTGGGCTTCTCAACCTTGCCTGTATGATAGAATCATCTGGGAGGTTACTGATTGATTGTTTTGATGTACCGTATTCAACAGCTGCTGGACATTTGAGTGGTTCCACTTTTTGGCTGTTATGAATAATGCCAGAACTTCATGTACGAGTTTTACATTGGCCCAGCGTTTTATTTTCTGGATCATTCGCATACAAGTGTCTGTGTGAACATGTTCTCAGTTTTTTCGAGTGTATACCTAAGGAGTGGGATCACTGGGGCCTGCATTTAATTTTTTAAGTTTGGACACTTTTACCACGTAATCTACGACATGCTCGGTGATCTTGAGTCCAAGACACCGAGTATTGATTTCCCTGAAGACAACTCGGGCTGTTCCCTACAGGCTCCTCAGAGGCTCTGCCTGCTTCTCCGAGGTTCTCC